TCAGATCACCCGTGACTTCCCGTCAATCCTGTCGAATTTATAGGGGCATCAATTTATTCGTCATTAATCCATTCTTTTTCTCTCAACTTCTTGTCTGCATAGAGTGGGAGAGAAATGCCAAAGCATGGTAAGATATAAATTCAGAGATTCTAATAAGCAAAGAAAAACTGTGATAAATTGATTAGTTGATCAGTGGATTAAATCATTATCTAAATATAGCATATAATCTTGGGTTGCGATAAGGTTATGAGATGAATAATGTTCGAGCATCTCTGCTTGCAGTGATCGTTTTAGGAAGGTAAAATAAAAAAGTTCATTTAAATACAAGGGACGCTCACATGTGGTGTAGTAATCGAGAATTATCAAAATCTTGCTACCTTGGATTTGTTTTAACAACTATGCAGATCAAGTGGATGAAAGATTTGTGAAAATGAAAACAAAACATGCTAAAGTTTTATTTTGCACTTTTTTACCATCGAGAAATAATTTAAACTATTAAGGAACAACTTTACATTTCGAAAACAATGGTTTGAAATATACACAAAGTGGGCCAAGTTCCGATGCAATCAATATGTCTGCAACAGAAAAATCGACGCTGTCAGCAATGAAATATTTGCTTGAATAGTGAAGAATGTCAAATGAAAATCACTATTTCGAGAATGTTTACGACAGGTAATGGAAGTAAGTAAATTTAAATCCTTGATCGTGCAAAAATGCCAAACTTTAAGGTTGAAAGCATCAAGCTTTTTCATTTCCTTTTGTTGTTAAATGCTTTCAACTTTTTTCATCATGTAGAAAATAGTTCAAAAGTATGTTTATAATGAGGTAGTAATACATGAAAAACATTTTCAAAAATGACTTATGCCATCACTTTATCACTAGTCACTACCGAGCTGATATCGCTGCTTTAAATGATAATATGTCTCACTTCCACGTAATTATTTTACTTCTGTAGGTTTCGTTGATTATGTTTAAGAACGTATGATAATAAAAGCATATGTTTCTTGTTATATTGCACTTTCTATATGTATTATATATTAATTTTATCACTAATTATGCTTATGCATTTTACTTCCCCATTGTCTGGAGTACACCAACCCATTCAGATTCATCCAATTCTTCAACGAAATATATTCCTGAGGAGGCAAGATTTGCTGCCAGATAATCGGCTTCAGCATAAATGGAACTTCAAATATTCACAATTGTGAATGTAGTAATAAATTGTCCCTGGTCTTTTTTCGCCACTCAATACTTCTAACCAAACGAATGTATTATCTATTCTGTGTTATATTCTCTCGATGGTCCCGATCGTTTCACAGAAGTCGGCCAAATTTTCTTCGGATATCCGAATTTTTTTGTACATTCAAGAATCCAAAGACTCTTAACCTCTGATTTGCATTTTTGATGCATAATATGTGAAAGTGATCACCACTGAGGAACAGACCAAGATTCAGAAGTAAACTCTCTACATTAATGAAACTATATTGCTATTAATGACCATCGCTGTTTCTAGATATGTTTTTATGTGGTACGTTACTACTACATTTCCGCAGAAAAAAAAAGAGTTAGATTGGATTTTCTGTTTGTTCCCTAATGCATTTAAGTAATTTCATGGAATCGATAAAAGAAGACATTTCTGGACTAATTTTGACAGGAATTTTTTTGAAAGAAATGCCGATGAAAAAAGAAGTATCAAAATTATTAAAACCCTCACACTCATAGATTTTAATGTTCGCGGCACTTAAAATGAATTACGATTACTGTCTACTCTCACAACCCTTATTACTGTTAGCTTTTGCGTTGAATAATTAAAGCTAATTACTCAACCTTATTAACATATGATTGAGTTGTAGTCATGTCGAGAGTAATGAACAGAAAATTCTAAGAACTTTAAATCAAATTAAAACTAAAGTCTATGAATAACAGACTGTTTGCCGAATAGCAAGTAACTGGTAACTTCTCTCGCCAAAACTTGCGAAAAATATAAGAATAGAAGGCAGTCACTATGAAATGGCTGAAAATAAGGATTTTCAATGACGGACCCGGCTGTCAGGTTAATTCGTCCCATTCACTTTCGGTTAGGCTCCTACTCATGCCAAATAATATTAATTTGAACGCGGAATAAACAGGTTGATTTTAATTATAACTTGAAAAACGTTGGATTAACATGTTAAGAAAGAAATGTCGAGATTGCAATGTGATAAATACCGCCGACTTCAATGTTACACAGTATTATTTAGCTGATTACGCTATTATCGATATGAAATTTATATCAGGCGGAACTCGAAAATGCATTTTGGGATGTACTCCTCCTCCCTAATAATCACGATTACAAAACCTCACATATGACATATGTACCTTGAAATACAACAACCTCATAGATGATCCTTACATGAAACCAAAAGAGAATAATGCTCGTTGAGATTTCCTGCCATCTTCTTTGACCACCCATCACGATTTCTATTTAACTGCGGCAATACCCTGCTATTGAAGTTGGACCACCCAAGAAGTTCTCCTTCTTACAGTCTTTCCACTGTTCTAGCCTTTGCGAGCGAGAAACTGAAACTATGAACGGTCGTTTAAATGCGCTAATCTGTTGTAATACCTCATGCTGACATGAGGAACTGCTGGTGAAAAGACTGCTTTGATTTCTTTTAATTAGAAATTGCAGAGAATTGAGAGGCAGTTTTCTTTTTACTATTAATTGAACATTTTCCATCTTCTTCATCAATCAATTAAAACCGCTTTTAAAGAAGTTAATAAATTTTTTCCATTGGTAGTAAAACTTAAATTTTTCCTGAATTCGATAAATTTCATAAAAATTTGATTGCTTTAACTGTGAAAGCTCGCATTGCAAGAATTTCACGGCATTCAACAGAACTCTTCCTTCTAACATTATATATAAGGCTGAAGATTTTCGTAGATGGGAATAGATCCTAAAAGAGGTTCATAGTCACTAAAAGTTTTCCTATTAATCAACGAACTTGTTAGATAATTATTCCTTACAATATTTTTCCAATGTCTAAAGATTGGAATTGTAAACTTAAAGATACATTAAAATACAATAAAAGAAGGCGTATGCTGGAGCAAAGATCTCCGCTTACATCAACGGGAAATGTTTGAAGTTCTGAAAATTCGATATCTATAAATTCAATTGAGTGATAATGAATTATTTACCTGCTTCACTGCCATAATAACTAAAGAATTATTTTGTGTATAAGCCTTCTTCAACATAGTTTGAATAATTTGAAGAGATGTGTAAGACACAGGCAAAAGAAATAAACAAAATTCAGGATGCTGAAGAAGCGGGAAAGGCTTTCTGGAGACCACATGAAATTAAAATTTAAGGTAAATGTGGAAAATCGTAAATGAAGAAGTGCACACTACTCTCAACTATGATTGTTATAAAGGCCCAAGTTCAGCATCAGTTGTAGTACTAAGAACGAAGTTTATAATTTAAGCAGTTTATTTCAAAGGAAATGATTTCCTAGTTTGTAGATTTATGCAAAAGTCTCCAGTATAAAAGAAATAAAATTGGATTACGCTGATTAAGGTTACAATGGTACTGTTGTTGCATTAAAATATAAACGAGCTGACCTCTGGAAGAGATGTGTGTTATTTGTAACGATTAGTCTAGTTCATCTATTGGACGCTAGTGCTTTCATGACCAGTGCGGTAGTGTTTTATCGATCCTGGTACTTCTGGTATGCATAATTCCATTGCAACTGCTATATCAACTAGCCAGTTCGATTGCAGTGAAATAGTAGCCAACTTCACAGTGAAATTTTGATTATATAATAAAACAGAGGAAATATTTAAATAATCTTACAAAAAGATAAAGTTTTCCATCCTGTTACTTCTACTTTCCCTATAAACTTTTTTATTTCTAAAAGAAATATTTTTTTTTTGCTTTTTGCATTTTTCTAATTTAATTTTTTAAAATTTCTCTAATTTGCTCGAAAATTTGAAAGTTCGGATTCCGGAATTTTCATTTCTTCCTGATATATAAGCCACGAAATTTCACGAATGGCTCCTAACTTTCAGCTTTAAATATTTAATCCTGAAGTAATTTTTCCTAATTTGATTCAAATTAGTCTCTTTTCAATAACTGCTTTCATTTAACTTAGAAATTTTAGGCATCCTAATCTCACAGCATTCTCACTCTTATAGGTTATGCCTACTGGAGCGTTTTTCGATTTTCCTGACATAGTTTGATCTAATTTTCATTAAGTTTACTTCAGATATTTTCGTTTGATGGCATTTTATCATTGTAATTTAATATACTTTTACTTTGACAATTTTACGTGATGGAATAATGATTCATGCATGTCTTACGAAGAATACCAGAGTCATATAACATAAGTGTTACCGGGAAAGGACTTATCATGAAAAGGTTGTGGACCAGGAAGTTCAAGCTACTTCTGCGGGCATGGATCCTCATTGGATTTTTACTTTTTAAAAATTGCTACAAGTGATTGAATTTGATGAATTCAAGATATTTGTTGTCTAATAAAAATTAGTAGAAATGACCGGCTGCTAAATTTTTGGACGACAATAAGCCAAGCAACCTTCCATCAGAATTAATAGAAATAATCGCATTAAACGAAGTGCGAGATTTCAATATTAAAGGGATGAGATAAGTAAAAATGGCAGATTTGTGGAGAGGTATTTTGCGAAAAAAAGTTGAACAATGACACTTGGAATGAATTAGGTCATCCGTGAGTCTGATAAAGCCGCACATGTAAACATGCTGATTGTAGACACATAAAATATATTGATTATCGTGATCGAATGACCAGAGAATTTGATCGATACTTTAAGGAAACCGACACATCACAAGGGCGCCTGTGCATTTGTATAAATGAATAAAATGAACATGTATACGTATATGTAATGCATATGGACATATCTAGCTTATTTTAATCTAGCATCCAATTCCGGCAAATGAGCTTTGCTTCTCTCGATCGATGTCGCTGTGATTGGTCGTGTGACACCAGAAGATGCACACTACTGCTGAAAACAATTTAATGGAGCTGTTAAGCATTAAACCAACCGTCTCAAGGCCAAGTTTATCATCTCTTTGGTCACTTCATGTTCATTTACAGGTTTGTTATGATTCTATCATCAAATACCAACAACACTTGCTGCATTTCCAGTGGTATCATAGAAACTATTGAGTTTAATATTTCTGTTAACACATTACAGTAGCAGAGCTTCTCTTCGCAGAAAATCATTTTCTCAGCAAACGATAATTGTTCTATACGAGTGTATTATTTCTCAAAAAATAACGTTCGGCACAACTTAAACATTTAAAATAGACTCCAATTGCATGAATTTTTTAACGGTATATTTCTATGGTCACTCACTGTGAGATGCTTCTGTTTCTTTTCGTTCCAGTTACTGAGGAAAATTCGAAGCGGAACGGTGCAAAAAAAATTTTTTGCTCGATTTCAAATCCTTCCTCCTACGTCGAAAAATTTTGCAAAAAACAATATATAATTTAGAGTGAAGCACATGATATCGATTTACGAAGCGTTTCACACACATCACTTCCAACAACTTTGTTACCAAATCTGAACAACACCACACTCCTTCGAAATGTGAAAAGTTTGTCAGGTAAATTGGTTTTAACAGTAATACCTTAAGAGTGATATTTCTATAATACAAATTTGGATCATTTCTGCATGATATCCATTCGTTCAAGTAAAATGCATTTCTGAGGACCACGTTGAAAAGTAAGCATTGAAGCTTAATGTTAATTTATGAATCGTACTTCAAAGGCTATTTTCGGACAGTGTAGTACTTTTCAAGCTTCCTTGCGGTAAAATTTTGACCACACAATATTATACATTCCATAATGAACAGCCTATTTACTCTGCGGATTACTTAGACAGATGTAGATCTGCGCATATTCTTCGCTTACGTACTATTACATAAACAACATAAATACTGTAGGTTGCCTTTCATAGCAAAAAGAACTTTCATGCGAAGCTATCACCATCTAATGTAAGACTTCTAACATTCATAGGCTATTAAAGCAATTATGTACACCCAGGAAGCTGTGCGTTTCATTACGGTGGAGAAAAACTTTACAAAAATATTCACTTCTCTTGTCAGCAATGATGTAACACAGATTATTTCAGATTTGCGTGAAACTTACCAGTTAGATTTCTCGCTGCCAAATATTCGGGACGAAAAGAGTTACATAACACAACCTACAGTTCAAGATCAGATCACAGCCAAGCAGCGTAATCGATGTGTTTTTGAATGGCTGGAAGGGGTCGAAAAAAAGGCGTATTACTTGCCCACAATATAACCCTGCCGTTATTACTGCTGTCAAATTAAAAGTTGTTCCGAAGTATACTTTTTTGAAAATGAAGTAAATGTGGACATGAATGTCGTGAACAGCAATGTTGTGTACTCTTCATCACATAAAAAATGGAGCAAATGATTATTGATGCTCTTTATTGGTTTCGCAAAAAATTAAGAAGTGTAAAGTTGTCGTAAATTTCTTCTGCAATTCATGATTAAGTGCGATACGGACGGATATTCATACCACTCTCTTGAATTAGGTCCAATGAATCTCTTTTTATTTAAGCAAATTTCGAAGTTGCAACATGTACCTACTGGTTCTGTTATATTTCTTTTGCACTAGCTTTTTTTAATTTCTGATCAAAATGAGGATGAGTAAAGAATAAAAATACGTATTTTCGGTTGATATGATAGAGATCGCTTATATGTTTTAATTTCGTTTCTTAGAATTCTGAGGTTGTAAAAATACATAAAACTTACGAAAATGCCAAAATGAGCAAGATCAAATTGATGTAACTTAACTGTGAAAGAGGCTTTTCGTGTTAATAAATGAAGTTACGACTGATATGAATAATGAAGTTACTCATGTTCGAAATATTTAACCGTCAATCAGATTGCTGGAATAAACATCATGAAGAGAATAATCATTCGATCACAGTTCAGTTTCTCTTCCATTAATTACGCATACTGTCCGTCCGATAGGTTTATTGCTGCATTTTCTGAACTCAAGATGATATCGTATTTCTGTGAATATATCCATTGGCTGGATTGGTGGCCATGCGTTTAGCTCGGTTTTAGTCTCTCTCTGCTGGGTAGAACTTTTTTTAACTTGCTTAAAACTTATGAATTAATGCTTTATCAGGTTTCCATCATGCGGAATGCTTTCTAATTAATAAGACATAATTTTTCATTTCTATCACTTGATATTTGTACGTTTCCAAACAAATACTTAATTTAAAACGATTGATTTAAAAGATCTTCTCAAAAGTAAGATGAAAACAAACTCAGCATAATGCCAGAAAGAAGAAAATAATACCATTTACAAGATCATTTATTGTGCAAATTTAAAAGGTAAGAGTTTGAGAAAACTGTTTAAGTAGGGAGGGATTATAATTTCGATTTTCGAACTCTTTCAATAATGTCAATTTTACCACAACATTAGCTTAACTAATTTATTTTTAAACGCCTATTCAATATACTTTTTGCTTTTAATTAAAAAATTTCTCTTAAATATTGAATATATCATAAACCCACCGGAACTATGGGCAGATATGCGTAACTTCATATAGTAAAATGAACCGCAAGCTGGAAATGCTGCCGAATGAAAAAGCATAAAACCTATTTCCGTTAATTGCACTATGAACACAGTGGTAGGGCAGCTAGCCGTGTGATGGATGATTTCCAGCATTCAAATAAAGTGACTGGTCAGCGCCATTGCTTATAGAGATTTTATTAATTGTTATGTTCGAAATGTAGACGGTCGTGGTATTTTGAAAGTGATATGGTAGTTCGATCTTGTTGCTCTTGAAAATGCGTTTTAGTGCATTTCACCTTCGCTACTATTCACTCCTACAGCATTCAGTAGTCCCCTTACTTGCATTTCTTTTCACGTCTCTCCCGTCATCCACGATTAAACGATCGAACAGAACTGAAATATTGCATGTTTAAATTTTTTGCTAAAAAGAGGGTTCGTTTCGATTAAGCCGGATTGTTTCTTACGGAATTTGGTTTAAATTTTAGCAAATCGCTGGGCTGCAACATAGGAGTTTCTTCCTGCTTTATTACACTTTTTGATTTAAAAATCGGCTGTTTTCAGTAATTTATCGCTGATTGTCTAACCAGCAGAGAGATTAATCAAAATAATCCGTTTTCAGAGCACTTTTATACGGCGTAAAATATAGTGCCACAATCGAATAGTGCCTATTAAGTGAGGTTAATAAAATAGAAAATAAATGGACCGCCATCCGACTACATGAACTTTTTCCTTGGAATTTATCCACAATCTCTCTTTTTCTTTTAAGCAAAGATTTTTTATCTTCTCTTTCATTTAGAGAGGATGGGAAAGTCATTTTTATTTGATTGAACTCATAATGACATTTGGTGTTGGTCTTGTCTTTTGAATTTTTTTATTTCTAAATTTATGAGTGATCTTGAAATATGGGGTTGTTGAGACAAAAGACCATTACAATTTGTTGACTTTATTTTTAAGTTTAGTAAAATAGCTTCCACTTTTTTACAACACAAATCTTATGAAGCTTTTTCTTTTTCTCATCACGAAATTAAGCTAGCTTAGAAAATATGTTCAACAACTGCAGTGATTAAAATTTAATAGTTATCATCTTAAATATAAGTAATTTATAAGTAATGATAAATGAAAAATTTGTTACTTTTAATGCTAACAACTTTGCTTTTCGATTTCCATATCCTTTTTTTGTACTTCATTAAAATTCACTTATTTTTTTTATTCATTGATTAAAACTTATACTGAATCAACATTGGCTATCAATTTATCAGCTCCATGCTTACTAATTTACCTTTCCACTTTTTTAGGTGTACGAGCAATGCTTCTGTTTACTAATTTTACCTTTAAAGTGTTATATAGACATACATTCATTTGTGAACTAATTTTTTTCATCACATCCCAATGTTGAAATGAAACGAACACTCGACGGGCGACTATTAACGAATTTTTCATCTGTAGCTAAATTTTATTTATATTGCTACTAATCAAACGAAAAAAGTGTTTTACGGTGCTGGAAATATTTATCTCTATATAGCGGCGATCCAATATGATAAACACGGCTTTGTCCGAGTTTAATAGAATTTGATAGGGATATGTTTCAAGCAAGGATAGTTAAGTGGATGATTTTATTGGAAAAGGTTAGGTTTTTTCAGAAAATATTTAGTCTCAATTCTAATTGCATTTGCAGATAAACTTTTATTATCAGATTGGTAGTAACAAACAATCTGTCAGTTGCGCATAATTGCGATTTTTTTTAAAATAAATCAAATGAACGTGAAAAATGAAATGCTATCAAAAACTTATTTCATGAAATAATGAATGAAATGCTATCAAAAACAAAGTAATTTCATGACTGACTGAAATATCTGCTGATTGAATTCAGTTCATTTTATTTATCTTCAATTTAAAATGATGTTATTTAATTTCGTTCAGGGTAATTAAATTGATTTTGTCCCACAAAGAAACTTGCATCTTGCATGAATCTATGAAATTTGTAATGTGCTTTAATGCTTTTAATTACTGCTATCATCACAATTTAATGAGACTTTTTTTCAAACGCTGATGAATGAGGTATAAAACAATTCTTTCCTGTGATTTGTAGAGAGCTCCGAGCTGATCATCTGACTGATATCGATCCTATCACAGTACGCATTGCTACTATGTAAATAGTGGAAACGACTCAGAAATAGATTGTAAAACTTTTAAAACGGATCTTTAATAGACTTAATTGTGTGAAGCATTTTACAAATCTTCCTTATTTAATTATGGTAACAATTTTTTTTTAAAGACAGTTTGTATTGGTCATATGCTACATCTTAATCATTACTGTAGAACGCGGAAAGTCTGCCTGATTCCTTTGCCGATTGATCTTGTTCAAGTCTCTACTGCTAATGACTTAATGCTAGAGTTTATGTTATTCTTCTGTTTAATTATTCCCATTCCTCTATAATTCTCAATTATTGCTTAACTGCATCGCTTTATTAAAATCTGGCACTAGAGGTTGTGGATCCGAGTTGCTTCTTTCTTTATCTTCGTTGACTATTTGAAGTACTGCTCCAACTTATTTACTGATTGCGATGCATTTTCTTTCTTTTATTGATAAATCCTTAGATCCATGTAGGTGATTTTCCTTCTATACTGAATTCTACAATTCAATGCTTGACTTTTTTTCCCGTAGTTCCAGTTGTCTATACACTCTTAATCACGGTCTCATCATGATTTAGTTCACCATCCTTTTTTAAAACTGTCTGGAATTCATTGTAGATTGACTTGGCTTCAATCATCTGTGGTCACAGGTCATTTAGGCAATGTGTCTCAACGACGTTATAGTTCTTTAATGCGGCTTGAAAGACTCTCAATGCTTCTCCCTTTAAACATTTAATTATCCATGTTTCAATTTCAGGTAAATTTCAACCATTAACCGACGCTTTGAAATTGCTCCAGAATTGTCTCCATTTTCTCGGATCTACGTGAAATTCTGATAATGTTAGTTGAGCAAAAAACCATTGGAATGTCTTTTGTGGTTTTCATCACTTATTTCCTCTTCCTAATGCTCCTTACCTTGTTATTTCCTTTTAGATGTTGAATCACGAGATCTCCACGTTTCCCTTTATGGGTTCTATCAATTCGTTTCCTTCCCCACTAATTGACGATTAAATCATAGCTTTATGTAAATGTGGCATTCAACAACCTTGCAATTACACATTTTTAACTAAAATGAGTGCGATTTTCCTGTTTTGAATGTTATTTTTAAAAATATTTTTGTTTTTGCTTTTTTTCGTTCCAATACTGTCAAATAATTCTTTTTGCTACTGTTGCTGAATTTCTGGTAAGGAGCATTAGGAAGAGAAAATAAGTGGTGAAAACCGCAAAAGACATTCTATTATGGTTTTCATAATCACGAATTTCATCACCTTCTAAGACATAAGATTTCAAAAGTTATAAGAACTGAATATGAATTTCGAGGCAATTTTAAAGTGATCAGCGTTTTTTGGATCAGCAGGAGATACGTAAAGGATTTTGAATTTTATGGATACATAAAGATCCATTAGATCACTTGGACAAACGATTAAACCTATGTAAAAGGAATGCAAGTTACATACAGTAAAGCTTACAGGAAACTCAAGATAAATGATCAAACTTTGAATAGCACTTTAAAAAAATATGCCAGATGACTCATATCAGGTATTACGAGTTACTATTTGGAAAGTTGTGAACGATGTATGTTTGAGAACAGGAAATCGACGATCAGACAAAATACT